TGTCTTCCCTTCAGTTTATCACTGCAAAATTAGGGACAGCTAACGCAAGTAGCCGTCGAGCAGCTTTGCGCGAGGTTCACAAAACAAACACACAGAGTTATAAAGCCCTCACAGCTAAAACGACGGAACGTGTTCAGTGTCATGCCACGACTCGAATCTTAGATACTCTGATACGCAGCCCTTGCACGATAACCATTGGATTTAATTTCTTAACAAGCTTTTTTTCAATACGTAGTAAAATTGTATTTTTATACTTTTAAGTAAAAATGTATATCTTAGATTTTTATTATCTGCTCTTAAAGTTGATGTAAACAAAATTAACTTTTACAATTTCATAATTGCTAAACTTATTTTACACGTTAAGTTAATATACTTACTTTTCAATTAATATCTAATTGCGTAACTTTTATAGAGAAGTTCTAATATTTAAAATCTTCGTCAGTTAGGTAACAACTCTATCTTTTTATCATCTGTATATTAGGAGTCAAACTTTAAACCATCACATCATGTGAGCTTAACGTCTTCATGTTTATGTGGGATAGTACAGATCTATAATTTGTAACAAGGAAAAGTACCAGGCATGTTTAGTAATGATTTATATATATGGTTATTGTCTTATGGGAAGCGTTTGAAAATTTACGTATTTTATATATTAACGAATATACTGTGAGAAAAAAAAACAGTAATTACGAATAATGGCAGTCACCAGAAGAAAAATCAATTTGTTAATTGGCTGATCCCGATAACTGACAATTATTTTAGCGGGACTAATTCAAAGATTTGAACCTAACTGTCAATTTGGAGAAAAACATCATTTGATTTCATTGTGTATTTCATAAAGAATTACTACGTATAATAATTAAATAAGTCTAAAACGCCCTATTTTGTTTTTCTTCGTAGGCACATAATCTAAGAATACTATTTATGAATATGATTATTACAACAAAACATTAGTGATAGTGATTATGTTAAAGCAAAACATAATCAGAAAACAACAGCGTCTAGACATCTCTGTGTACTTATATTGATCTTACCAACGGAGTTAGAATAATCACGATCTTCAATAAACAAATATTGACAGGAGCTAGCATATGGCATACTCTCTTTTTTTTCACTACTCTTACTTTCAATAACAGTATTGATTAGAATTTATTATAACAATACTCAGTTTTTGTCTGTTTTCAAAATGCGCGCGCACTTCATTTCAACAAAAGGCGGACGTAAATATACTTTGATGAACAACGTTTTTAAAAAGCTCTAACGTTAGGTCATAGAATAACATTATAAGTTTATTTATCGGTAGTATTAAGGTACAATAAAGTTTAGCCCTAACTAAACTAAAGCAAAAAACGTACACAAGTTACAGTGTTAATCCACGTCTTTATCGAATACAGGCCGTACTTAATAAAGGCTTACCTAATGCTAGGCCTAAGACAATTGGAATATAATATTACTACAAAGCTTGAATACTAAACAAGGACTTTATAATGAAACAAGACTGTTAGCTAGGATGTTGTTTTCTTCAATGGTAGATGCTGAAATTATAACAGGCAGATATCAAGGAAGTAGTGTTTATTCCTCGAAAAACATTGAGTTCATCAGATGTAAACCTACCTCAATTAGATTTTCATATTCTGTGACTATAATCAAGTCACGAGGTCAAACATTTGACAAAATTTGTATTTATATTCCTAAACCTTTTTTTTTTTTTAGGAAACAGAGACAGATTTTTGTAACTTTTTCCATAGTGAAAAGTTATTATTCTGTTAAGCTCTTTGGTGAAAGAATAACTAGAAATCCTGTATTTAAAGGTACTAATTGACCGTAGGAATTTTGCGAGTCTCTGCTATTGTTTATTATATCTAGTTATATATATATATATTATTATCATACAGGTTATTTTGCACTGTTGGCCTAGTATGTGAATTAGGGATTAACCTAAATATTTTAAGTTGGCCGAACCATTCATCTTTATATAGTAACTAGAGGGGCTACTTGCTAATGATTGTAAGTAAGCTGTCCATGCCTGTGCTACAGTCATCTATCTCGAGGTATCGTCTCTGTAGAAGAAGAATGACATGTAATACGTATGAAACAAATTTACGCATGTTACCTCTCAGTTTTCCAGGATTTTCACAAAATATTGTTAATTTGCAAATAAAAATTATAGGTATGTATTATAGGCTTAATGTCAAGGTGATAGAATAACGTCATGATTATTTGCAATGATGAACAGTAACATTGTTAGAGGCATGGAAGCTCTCAGTTTTAAGAACTAACATACCACCTGTGTACCGTATATATAATATAGACCACTCGAAGGCAATGCTTTTAGATAATGTTTTAAAATATTCTCAAACTTACTGCTGTGCCATTAGGGGAAGCAAAGTTATGATATCCATATAGTTTACAATATTAAATTCAGCGTCACTTCAATTGAAATTAAGCATTTTAGTTTTAAAAGATATTATTTCTAAATTATCATTTGTAATATAGTAGTAAACAAAAAATATTGACCATTATGTAGGGACTGGTCAGCAATATACAAAAACACTTATGTCGAATACAATTGACAAATTGGTTATTTTTAAAGACATGTAATGAATTTGAAAATTATTTGGATGTTCATATACAAGTAGTTCACAAGCAATAAAAGTAACCACAGAAATAAACATTTAATGTCAACAGAGCGACGAAAATGTTGATATTGTCAGAAATGTTGTACACATCAAACAGTAATTTTACACAAAAGTTATACAGACGTGCAACCTATTTACAAAAGCAAGGTCTGCCCCAAGATTAAAACAATATTGACACTCAAATGGAACACCGTTCTGAAAGCTATTCATTACAAATCAAGTAGCGTTCTTAATGTTTGAAACATGTTTGCAAATTTGCTAGTGGTGAATCTTGCATTTAAAGTAGTCAGTGAGTCAAGTTTCACGACAACCATTGAGTTTGTCACTAAAAACAAACATAATATGCCACTTTAGGTTGAGTTTCTTCTAATTTTCTCTCCATTGGTGACTTCTTATTCGATTCCATACACTGTAGTTGAGGAGAAAATGAAGACAATATTGATAGCACAGCGTCATTGGATATCGAGAAGCTCCATTTGGACGTACCTATTAAAATATTTTTTTTTTTTTAGATTCAAGTGACACTGTATGGAAAGCTTGAAACTATGTATTACTTAATATGTTATTATCATTCCATTCCTTATATATTGTTTTCAGTTACTTCACTACCAGATAACTGTCACTTGGTAGAAATTATTACACATATAATTTGAAAATAAAAATAATGATATGTTAGGTTTTATAATTTAATGCAGTGAAAACTCGTTGCTTGTTTGTTTGTTTTTGAATTTCGCGCAAAGCTACACGACGGCTATCTATGTTAGCCGTGCCTAATTTAGCAGTGTAAGACTAG